CAGTCATGTATTTCCGTTATCACTGCCTGGGACCAATCCACTAATACCCAACGACCCAAGATATTATTATTACTAATCCCACACCATTTTTTATTATAAAAAAAAGATGTGGAATTATAATCATAACATGTACTAGCTGAGTCCGATCAAGTATTGTAAAATAATTCTTTTATGTGTTTCACCCCGTGTGTAAAATTTGTTGTGTAATAACTCTTCGGATAAAATTTAAACTCACTTACGTAACTCATTTCTAGGGATTTACTAGGGAGGTTAGATTTTAATTCGGGATTGTTACGCTTACATAATAGTGTACAAGTGCTGCATAATAAATAGTAGTCATTCAAGATCAAAATTATGTTGCGGCTAAAGATGAAATTAGGGATCTCGATTTAAAATAAACCTTACAAAGAATCATTTATATTCTTTTATTATTAAACCTGATCCTAAAAAAAAAAGTGTCCCAAGATTTCTAACTTTATTAGTTTTTAGACATTATGAATATAAATTACTAAATATTCTAACAGAATTTAAAGTTATAAATTTTACAGGTTAATATCAAATTCCATTTCTTTACTTTGATAATTATAATACACTAAAATTTTAATACATAATTAATTTTTAGTAAGTATACGGGGTGACATTTATTAACCGTTATAAGAACTATATCTTGATCGTGAGTTTTCTCATTATGTTTATGTCTTTTATTTTTATAATAAATATCTATTATAAAGTTTCATAATAACATCATTATCATATATTAAAATTTTAAAATTTATTTTATTCTTCTACATACCATCGTAAGCAAAATTATTTTCGTAAAGTGGATGCTTTTTTAGAATATTAAGATTAGAACATGAGAGAGGTGCTAGTTCTTGTTGATAATAGTACAAAATTTGTTTGCCCATAGAAAACTCAAGTCCATTTTCGATAATTGTCTATTCTGGATTGTTGTCTTTATTTCATTATTTCTATTTGTGCTATTATTTAATTATCACAAATAAGTAAGTATATATGTAATAGATATTAAATCATTAAAAATCATAAGAAAAGTTAAAAACTTCATTTATTATACTTTTTGTTGTCTATAAAACTTCTAAAAGATGGTTTATAAAATGGTTATTTTACAGTTTATAAAATAAAATAAAATAAACCAAATTAATAATAATACCAGTTTTCATGTTGTTTACCGAGTAGATATCTGATAAAATAGAATAACCTATTTATATGTTTATAAGTAAGTAAACTAGTACGTATTAAATTATGAAAAAGAAAGTCATAGTAGTAATTTGAGCAAGCATACTTGTAAGAGTATTATAGTTTAATTGCATCCAGAGAGCAGTGTTAACTAATGAACTTAGTGGCCTACTAGTATATATTGCCTGTGGGTTTGCTTCTTTAATAGGCCTGTGTATTATATTTTCTGGGAATTTTATTTTTTTTTCTATATAATTTTGAAATAATATTCTCAATAGAATTGCAAATATCAATAGCACTTGGCCTGTTTAATGGATTTGCGTCCCAACATTTTTTCATTACATTAATATAAGACTGTGGCAAATCGTCAATTAATTCAGGACGAAGACCATTAAGAATATCAAAATAAGATATTTCCCACATAATCATTCCAAAACTGTAAACATCTGATGCTATCGTATATTTTTCTCCAATAAATATCTCAGATGCAATATATGGAATCACTCCATATATCTCTTTCATATCTGTTATCAAATTTGCTGGTTTGCTTATTTCAAAATCTATTTTTATATCATAGTAATGATCAACAAGTATATTACCACTATGAAGATCTCGATGAATATTTTTTTTTTATTAATTTTATCAAGTCCCCATGCTATCCCTTAAACCGTTTAAAATTCAGTGCAAATTTGCACTGAAATTTTTCGATAGTTACATATATTGCAATTATGCAAAAAATAATAACATAAATAATAAAAGACACTATAAAAAGGTATAAAAATGATATTTTTTTGGTTTATTCATATTCATGGTAATTAATAAAGCAATCTGGGCGTTGCTTATTAATACATAAAGGAACATTACACACTGTACACCACAAATTACTCCGGGGTGAATTATCGTCATGTTTTCCATGCTCGGTCATATATTGAAACTGACACCAAACACAAGACTCTCTCTTTTCACGATATACTGGATAATGGTCTTGTGGATATAATCGTTCAATGGGTAATTCAAATTTTTTTGTAACATAAATTGATCTTTTTTCTGGACTTTGATTATGTAATTTTGATTGAATAGTTGTACTTGTTTTTTGTGTATGTAATTCTTGATTCATTCCTAATGATTCTTCTACTAAACTCCACACTAAATTTATTCTAAAATCTTTGTGTAACATGATCAAGTTGAGATCTTTTGAAATAAGAAAGGAATTAACAATACTAGTATCGAGAAGCCAAAAAAATAATGGCATCCAAGTGCGACATACAGGTACTTGTGTACCATAATAAACCCTTAATTGGTTGGCTACATCTATGCCACCCATATGTTAGTTATAATCATCGATCACAACAGGTATGGTGAGAACTTTTTTACTTGCATTACCAAAAACACTACGTACTTTGTTAGCATTAGTACTAGTTGTTCGTGGTTGTCGCCTTTCTTTTTCTATTCGATGTTCTTCACCTGAAATTTCATGTATAGTTGTTAACATGGTTACTGGACCGTTGTCCATCCAGAACACAGCTAAAACATCATCCACAACTGCACCAGAAAGAGTATCCCATTCTATTTTTTGCGATTTTTTGATTTTTAAAAAAGCAGAAAATTTTAAAGTATTACTTCTTACTGTTCCGCAACCGTTCCGCAACCACCATACCCATTTTTTCGCATATAACTAAACAAATTTATGCTTGTAAAAAAATTATCCATGTAAATATCAAATGCTTTGCCCATAGGAAGTTGAGATATTAGATGATACACCTGCCAGCCGATCTTATTAACATTTGAAATTGGATTAATTTCGGTATTAGATTCAATACGGGAGGTAAAAATAAAACAGTAGGTATATCCTGAATCGCACAATGAAAGTATTTTATATCCTTCTGGTGTGGGCTTATTTTTAATTCGTACTGTATGACCACTTCTTCCTCTAAATCTAGCAATCATTTCATCGATTGAAACTTGTGATTTTGGTAAGTAAACTGACTTAGAAACGTCTCGGATATGTGTAGCTAAAGGCTCAACCTTCGAATACCATGGTAATTGTGATATTTTTGTTTCGATTTTTAAAATATGAAGGTAGCGCTTTATCTTTTTGATTTTTTTTTTTTATAAAAAAAAAAAATTAAAATAAATTAATTAAAATTTTAAAATAATTAAAAATAAATGACATAACTTGTTCAAATCGAACTAATGTCATATATTTAATAATTTTATGTTGCGGATATTTTCAATCCGTCTTCCAATAGTCTTCCCTACTCGGCAATTTAAAAACACCCATGTAAATTACTAAAGCTAACTATATCAATAATTCTTCCACCGTTAAAGGAACCCACTCACACCCTTTACCCGCCGATTTTGCTACAGCATAGTAATTCGTATTTTCAACAATTATATTTAGCTGTAAATTAGAGAAAAATAAATGAAAAATTAAATGTGGTGTAACGTCACCAATGGTTAATTTATTAGATAATTTTATTTGAGATGAATGATATGGTTTTGCATGTTGAAGTTTTTGAAATGACGGAGGTAATGGTAAATCAAGCAAATTTGAGGAATGGGATACATAAGTTTTTTTTTTTGCTCGATTACTTTTATTATCTTTTTTTCTTTTGTTCTTGCTATTTGTGTCATTTTCAGTTTCTTTGTCAGTTTCATTTTCAAATTCATCTTTATATTTATTTTCAGTATCATCATCCGTAGGGTCATTGATCCTGATTTCATCCTCAATTTTGTTACTAATACGTGTGAAATCGAAGGTATAGGCGTCATAATCTTCAATATTTTCACTCATATTTCCATCTAAAATAAAAATGCATAAAAAAAACGTATCGATAAATTTTTAATAAGGTTACGTAGATCAATTTTAATAAGGTAATGATAATGATGATCAAACCTGATGATTATAATTTCTAGGTAACGAAAATGACGATCGAGCCTGATGATCATAATTTCTGTAACATCAAGGAATTTATTGAATTTCTAAATAAAGCAAGATCAGGATTTTTAATTAAAATAGTTA